AGGGCGTTGCGAGGGTTAACAAATCTCCGGGTGCCTCCTGCCCGTCTTCCTACCCCCCACACACTGGCCCCCAGCTTCTCTCCCCTTCTGATCTTCCACGCCAACTGCCAAATGCTTTACTGAAAACCACTCTCTGGTTCCCAGTTTTATTTTTAGGGGACAGAGTCTAGCTTTCTTAGCCTGATAGCCAGGGCCTTTCTAGCTCCTTCCAGCCCCTGCAAGCTTCTTTCCTCACCCTCTTCACCTTCACATGCTAGTTATCCACATGGAGCCTCTTATGAGCTGAATCGTGTTCCCTCAAAATTCATATGTTGATGTCTTAACCCCCAGGGTCTCAGAATGTGACTCTATTTGGAGATGGAAACTTTTTTATTTTTATGGTTTTTTTAAATAATCTTCAATCTTTTTTTTTTTTTTAACTCTAATGACCTTTTTACTTTTTTTTTTTAAGTTTATTTACTTAAGTAATCTCTACACCCAAGGTGGGGCTCGAACTCATGACCTCGAGACCAAGAGTTGCATGCTCTTCCAACTGAGCCAGCCAGGTGCCCCAGAGACAGAGCCTTTAAATAGGTAAGTAAGGTAAAATGGAATCATTGGGGTGAGCCCTAATCCAATGACTGGTGTCCTTACGAGAAGAGGAGACTGGGACACAGACACTCATGGGGGCAGCCACGTGAGGACCTGGGGAGAAGGTGGCCATCTACAGGTCAAGGAGAGAGGCCTCAGAAGAAACCAACTCCCCTGATACCTTGATCTTGGACTTCTAGCCTGCAGAGTTGTCAGAAAATTAAGTTCCGTTGTTTAATCCCCGCCCTCTTTCTGTGGTCCTTTGTCATGGCAGCCCCATCCGATTCATACAGGACCTATCACAGGCCCGTTACCGGGGGCCTCCCATTTAGACCGAATGACTTCTTTGTTGTTCAAGGCATCCCTTGTAAATTTTAAAAATATGCCTCAGCTTTCATAACCCTGTATTGGCATGAGGTCATTCATTCATATGCCAGAAACCTCTCCAACTGGAAAGTGGCAGGGGCCTCCCGATCTTTGTGGGTTTCTTCCCTCCGCCTGTGGTGCCCCTGTCCCTTCTCAGCTGGTCTTCTCTTCTCCTGAGGTCCGCGGGAAGTGCTGCTCCTTGCGGGTCCTTCCCTGCCCACCGCCCACACAGCAGGGGCCTCAGGAGTTGCTCCCAGATGTGCTGATGGGGGGCCGGGGGAGCCCCTGGGGCCAGGCTCCGTCTGCTGCAGGCGAGGGCCAGTGGCTGGCCTCTGGCAGGTGCCACATTCCCCTCCTATCTCTCATATGAGAAAATCAGCAGCAGCTTAGATTCTTTTTTTTTTTTTTTAAAGATTTTATTTATTTATTTGAGAGAGAGCATGAGAGGGAAGAGGGTCAGAGGAAGAAGCAGACCCCCCGTTGAGCAGGGAGCCCGATGCGGGACTCGATCCCAGGACTCCAGGATCATGACCTGAGCCGAAGGCAGTCGCTTAACCAACTGAGCCACCCAGGTGCCCAGCTTGGATTCTTTTTTTTTTTTTTTTAAGATTTTTATTTATTTATTTGAGAGAGCGAGAAATCACAAGTGGGGGTGAGGGGCAGAGGGAGAGGGACAAGCAGACTCCTCGCTGAATAAGGAGCCCGCTGTGGGGCTTGATCCCAGGACCCTGAGATCGTGACCTGAGCCAAAGACAGACACTTAACCAACTGAGCCACCCAGGCGCCCCCGCTTGGATTCTTTTTTTTTTTTTTTTCCTTTTCTTTTTTGAGAGAGAAAGAAATTCCAAATGTGGTGTGTGTGTGTGTGTGTGTGTATGCGGGGCAGAGAGGGAGAGAGAGAATCTCAAGTAGGCTCCATGCCCAGTGCAGAGCCGGGACGTGGGACTCAATCTCATGACCCTGAGATCGTGACCTGAGCCAAAATCAAGAGTCGGATGCTTCACCAACTGAGCCACCCCGGCGCCCCATTAAGAGCTTGGATCCTAATCAGTAATGGACTCAGTCCAAGGGACAGGCCTCTGGGTGCCCAGCAATCAATAACAGCTTCGCCTAAATAACCCTGGGTTATGTTTAGTTATATAATCATCAACTATCTATTTATAACTGGATATTTAGGAGGCTTTAAATCTTCCCCTTTAAAAGGAAAACAAAACAAAACAACCCTGTGTGTGTCAACAAGGCAGATGGATAACCTCAAAACCCTGGAGCGAACTGGAAATGCCGTGTAGACCACAAGAAGCGTCGTTCAACATATGTAGCTGCAGTTGGCAAACATCAAAATGTGTGATGAGCCGCCGTGTTGGTCAGGACATCCCGAGGCCAGATGATCCAGGTGGGAAGTGGTGTCAGAACAGGAACGTTCGGGGCGCCTGGGTGGCTCAGTCGTTAAGTGTCTGCTTTCGGCTCAGGTCATAATCCCAGGGTCCTGGGATCAAGCCCCGCATCGGGCTCCCTGCTCCGCGGGAAGCCTGCTTCTCCCTCTCCCACTCTCTCTGCTTGTGTCCCCTTTCTCACTGTGTCTCTCTCTGTCAAAAAAATAAATAAAATAAAATAAAAAGAACAGGAACGTTCATCACAGCACTGCATGTGACAGCAAAACGTTCACGATATGCTCTTGAGCTCTGTCACTAGGGGACGGGGTGGAGGACTAGTTAAAACCCCAAAAGTGCTCAAGAGACGTGGCTATCCAGAACTGTAAGCGGTCTCCTCCAGGAGACAAAGTAGGCCAAGTGACAGTTCGGGGACACAGATCTGATCGCATGCCACCCACTGCAAATCCTTTATGGTTCCCATTGTCATGCAGGTAGGGCATCTCCATGTCCCTCTACAATCTGTGCTCTGTGTCCCACAGTTCCCTAGGCTTCTGTCCCAGCCCTGGCCCCGCAGAGGGGCAGCTCTCTGTCTCCTGGTTTGAGCTCCTTGGGGGCAGGGAGTTTGTTACGTGTAGCCCCTGCATCCAACCCCATGCTTGTTTGGTACACAGGAGGCCTTTTCTAACTTTGAGAAGCAAGGGGGAAGACAGGGAAGGATGGGGAAAGCCAACCTGGACCTGGGTGAGAATGGCGAGTGTGTCCCAGGCAGGGGAGTGGAGAGACCCTCGGAACACCCTAAAGCGCACAGAACCTTGGGGGGATGGGTTGAAGGGGTGACACAGGCCTGGGAGTCAAGAAGCCCAGTTCCTCCTGCCAGGCCTGGCACTGGAAGGTCCCCTCAGCTTTCTGAACCTCAGTTTCCCCGTTCAGTGTGAACAATCACTGTGTTGCAATGCAAATCAACAGAGGCAGTTCGCGTGGCAGCATGCTGTGGATCCTAAACTGCTAAGCAAATGTTGGATCATTTTTTTTAATTATTATTATGAGAAGCATTTCAGGAAGCCTGGGATCAAATTGATGATGGGGACTTTGCGAAGGAGGCTGGGGAGCTCAGACTTTCCTCTAGCTGCTGACAGAAGGTTCCAGAAGCTGGCAAGCAGAAGAGGGGTGCGGCCAGGACATCTGGACTGTCTCCTGCCCAGCTGTAGAGTTCAGGGACTGGCCTTTGTGTCCCACCCTGCTGACTGTCCCCGCTCCCAGCTCTGAACACAGAGGTCGAAGCTAGATACCACTTGTAACCGTGGCCATCTGTGGGAAGGGCAGACTTGTGGCCTCCTGACAGACCTGGCAGCACCCTCCCCCCATGTCATCAGGGTTTTGGGCATCTGGGCTGTGGCCTGGAATGGGGCCTTGCAATCCAAGGGGAGGTGTCCGGGCAGGGCTGGGGCCACCTGTGCTGAAAGGGGGCTGATGGACCCTGGCAGTGGCTGTCCATTTCGTGGATACCTTGTTTTCTCTCCACAAAAGCAGGACTCCCGCACTGTGCTTGGCCTTATCTTGATCTTTATTCAAAAGTAAAAGCTGCCTGCCGTGTGTGGTAGCTGCTGGGGGGGCCCACACCTCCTTCCGGCTCTGCTATCTCTGGTCTGGCCCTGGTCCCACTGCTGTCCTTCAGCTGAAGGAGGCCTGTCCCCTGGGCCCAGCTGCATGGGCCGGGCCTCTGATGCTCGCACAAGGGGGCCTGGCATGGAGGCAGCCGTGTCGGCTTGGGCGCCAAGGCAGCTGGGCCTTCTGCAGCACCTGCCCTGCCCAGCTCACCACACGCGACAGCACCCAAGGGCTGTTGGCTTGACAGGATAGTGGGCTCCTGAGCCCCGCAAGAGAGCTGTGTGGGGCCAGGCATGAGGGATGATGCCAGAAGCTGGGAGGGCTACGTGCCCCTGGGTGCCTTGGCCCCTGTTCCCCTTGCCTCTCCTTGCTTCCCAAGCTACATAAGCGAGGCTCTTTATCTTGCACCTCAGGGTCTTTGCACATGCTGGTGTCCCTGCCAGAAATGTTGTCATCCCACACCAACAGCCTTGCTGGCCAGCTTGCCTTCATCCTTCGGGTTTATATTGGGCATTGCCTTGTAGAAGATGCCTTCCCAGATGTCCAGATCTGCGTGAGCTGCCTTTGTGTGGTCCTCCTGCCTCAGCCCTCACTCACACTCATCAGAGAGTTTATCACCCAGGACTTGTCTAATGATTTTTCTGCCTCACCCACCAGACTGGAAGCACCATGAAAGTTCATCAGTATACTCCCAGGGCCAGCATGATGCCTGGCATATAGTGCTCGATATATTTTTGCAATATGGATGGATAGGTGTAAGAATGGATGATTGGATCGACAGACAAAAGGTTGAGTGATGGCTGAAAGGACGGATGCATGTGTGGGTGGGTGGATGAAGGCAGATGGATGGGTGGATGGGTGGGGGCAGGTGGGTGGATGGGTGGGGGGCAGGTGGGTGAGGGGATGGGTGGATGGGTAGGTAGGTGGGTAGGTGGATGGATGGGGGACAGGTGGGTGGATGGGTGGATGGATGGATGGATGGGTGGGTGGCTGGATGCATGGGTGGGTGGGTGGGTGGGTGGATGGGGGTAGTGGGTGGGGGAAAGGATGGAGGAAGGGGCAGGTGGGTGCAGGAGAGGATGGGTGAATGGGAAGGTGGTTGGAAGAAGTCATGCATATATGCATGCATGGGAAGATGTATCAATGAATATCTGGGGAATAGATGGATAAAAGAATATAGGAAATGAATTGTGCATACATGGAAGAATTAATGATGGATAATGCATGAGTGTGTGGTTGACTGGGTAGGTGGGTAAATAAGTGGATAATGAATGGGTAGATAATCAGTGCATGCATAATGGATGTTTGGAGGAATGGAGAATGGATGGATGGATGGATGGATGGATGGATGGATGGATGGATGGATGGATGGGTGGATGGGTGGATGGAAGAATACATGGATGGGTGGGTGAGTGGACTCCTCACTCACCTGACAGGCCTCTGGGACACATTGGGTGGGGTCTCTACATACAGTACATTGTGCTCAATGATTAGGGTGTCTGGGATCTACCTGCAGTAGAGACCTTCACAGACTTCCTGGTCCAGGAGTGGCACATGAGTCTGCTGGAGAGACTGTGGAGGAGGAAGAAGCTGTGGAAGAAATGGAAGACAAAGAGTGACAGAGTCTTGCCTTAGCCACAACCAGAGAGAGCTGTTTGCATTCAGGGAGAGGTACCATGGACAGGGATGCGGGGCTGGTGAGGGAAGCTGAGGCTCAGGCTGGGGGGGTGGGTGGAGAGGGCAGGGGGCTGGGAAGGGCTTGGGGAGGAGTGGGGAAGAGCGTACCTGGGTTCAGGGTGGGGATGGGTGGAGGGATGTCCCCTCAGCCCCAGAGGTGGGCTCATTTCCTTCAATTTCTCCCAGCCGGTCACCCAGTGGGAAGTGCCGTTGGGCAGCTGGGTGGAGGCCAGGGGATGGAAAGGGCTGGATCTTCCCAGAGAAGGCACATCCCCGACATCTGCCCCAGTAGCACAGCAACCGTGAGGGAGGGTGTGACGATCCCCCTCATGGCCTGCAAGTCGCTGGCAGTGCTGGGGGCATCCAGGTTCCTACAAGGGAGAGCTGTCCAGGTGGCGAGGCTAGACAAAGAGGGACCCAGTGCTCGCCAGTGTCTGTTAGACCAGGCTTCCTGGGGAGTGCCGGCCTGCGCCGTGCCCTCGGGAAGCTCCAGGCCAGGGAGGCAGGAGAGGAGCAGGACTCTCCAGTAGAAGGGCCCTCTGGCCTCATTGAGCCCCCTTCCACTTACACAGCAGGAAACTGAGGCCCAGAGAAGATCAGTGACTTGCCCAAGGTCACACAGCAAACTGGGGTCAGAACCATCCACAACGAAGTTGCCTGATTCCTAATTCCAATATCCACCTAGACCAGGCCTTGTCCGATTTTTCTTTCCTTCTCGGAAGTGAGTGACTGCATAGGGAGACACAGCAAGACCACAAACTGCTTTCCAGGCTGATGATAGCGGACATAATTTCTGCCACCCAGAAAACCATAGAATGTAGTAGTCAAGAGTTTGGGCGCAGGAGCCTGACTGACTGGGTTTGGATTCCAGCTCTGCCATGAATGGCTGTGTGATCTTGGACAAGTGACTTAACCTCTCTGGTCTGTTTCTTCCTCTGTAAAATGGGAGTAATGTAGTACCTCCCTTGTAGGTTGTGTTACGCAGGGTAAGTTCATGCACATAGGGTGTGTGGGACAACGCTCAGGAGTAGGAGTCTGTGGCTTGTGTGCGTGCACATGGGAGTAAGTGTGAACTCATGTGAGTGTGCACAGTAGGAGGGCCCTGGCAGGCATGTGAGTGTGTTTGTGCGTGAGTGTGTAGCAGCTCCTGCCTGCATCAGGGGACCCAGAAGCCTTCCCAAACAGGGGCGCAGTCTAGGAGACTATTTTTGGCTCCTGGTTTTTCTGTAAGCGACTCTCTGCCCTCCCCTCTCCCCAGGCCAGAAGCTGAAACCAGAGGTCAGGAGGTCAGAGCTGGGCCACCGGGAGCTGGTCCCAAAGACAGGGAGGAGCCACCATGTTTGTTGGGTGAATGAATGAACAAACTCACTCCCTCTCCACAGCCCAAGCTCCTGAAACCCAGGACCACCCTCTTGCCCCAGCCCCTCCGTGTGGGCTCTGCTCTCTCTGAAGTCACCACTCAGCTCCCAGGAGCACCCCGGAGGCCTGTCTACCTTGTAAGGCCAGGCCTGGCTCAGTGTGACCTTTCCTGACCCTAGGAGTCCCTGGGGTGGGCTGGGGGCACTGTGGGGGACCCACATGGGATCCTCACCCGCTAGAAACCAAGGGGCGAGGCGGAGCAGAGTTTCTTCCTTTCCTTTCCACACACTGTGGTCCCTACACAGGCACACCGGGCCACCTGCTAGTGTCCCCTCCCCCTCCTGGGCAGGGCTTACCTGCAGTGCTCAGGAACTTTGACCTTGGGGAACTCTCTCTGCACATCAGAACAGACACGCCCAAACAAGTGTTGCCCATAGCCCACGTGGAACAGACATTTTCTTGCCCTGAATTTTTTATTTTATTTATTTTAAAGATTTTATTTATTTATTTGAGAGAGAGAGCAGGGGGGAGGGGTAGAGGGAGAGGGAGAAGCTGACTCTCCGCTGAGCTGGGTGCCCAGTGATGGGCTCGATCCCAGGACCCTGAGATCATGGCCTGAGCCGAAGGCAGACGCTGAACCGACTGAGCCACCCAGGCGCCCCTGCCCTGAATTTTTGAAAGAGGATTTGTATATTGGGGCGCCTGGGTGGCTCAGTCATTAAGCGTCTGCCTTCGGCTCAGGTCATGGTCCCAGGGTCCTGGGATCTAGTCCCACATCGGGCTCCCTGCACCGTGGGAAGCCTGCTTCTCCCTCTCCCACTCCCCCTGCTTGTGTTCCCTCTCTCACTGTGTCTCTCTCTGTCAAATAAATAAAATCTTAAAAAAAAAAAAAAAGAGGATTTGTATAATCTTTACAGCGTTGAATTTGGTAAGAACAAATTACTTGTTAGTGTGTAGGACCACGTGACGACTATCCCAGAATCCAGCTCGGTGCTCAGCACTCAGCAGGTGCTCAGGAACCATTTCTTGGCTCAGTGGCGCTCGTGATTTGATTCTGACCTCACAGAGGATAAGCCGAGTTGATTTTACCCGTTGACATCACATAGAGGGTAGCAGGTGCCAAACTCAGCAGGTATTATGTTTGATTTGACATTTTCTTCTTGTAGTTTGGAGATTCTCATGCTCCCATCAGGTTTCAATCCTTCTCGGAGACGGTAGAAACATGCACAGGCCTACAGAGCCTTGTGGATAGAATGGGGCCATCCACACCTAACCCCCACAGTCGGTCTCCCTGGGCAAGGGGTGCCCCTCAGAGCCCCAGATACCAGCAGTGTCCTCTAAGAGCAAAAGGACGGAGGCCTGGACTTTCTCCAGGAGCGGGAGGCTCTCAGCCCCAGGATGCAATAAGTTTCCCCAGGCCTGTCGCTCTGCAGGGCCGGTTCCCACAGTAGCTCACAGCAAGCAGCTCTCTCAGTGCCTGGCCTGGGGTGGGGGGGCCCTAGCCTTTGTAGCCGGCCTCCCCGCCCACCTCCAGCCCCGTCCTTCTGATCCGTCATCCACACAGCAAGCCAGAGGGACCAGGGCCAGTTTCTTGGGTGCGTGACCAGTGCCATCCCGTTTCCAAGTGTGAAAGACCAGAGTGAGCCGTGAGCAATATCCAGCCCCGCCTGCTAGGGAAGGTCTCTACTGGATGGACTTCTCCGGGTGAATCCATCCCCCTGCCCCTCTGCATCCTAGCACCTGGGGCTTAAGAATAACTTCCCCTGGGCAAGTGGCTTAAGAATAACTTCCCCTGGGCAAGTGGCTTTCTGTACGTACTTGTGACCCCCTCAGAGCTCAGAGGAGTGAAAGCAAACACCCAGGGCCCCTGGCTCATACAGGTCAGCTGGGAAGCAAGCCCAGAGCAGTCTGGCTCCAGAGCCTTGGCCGCTCGGAACCTATCACAACCAGGTACCTGACCACGAGCCACCTGACGGCCAGATCATGTCCAATCAGGAAAGGGGAGGCAGGCAGTCCCCGGAGGGGGGATGGCATCTGAGCTGGGCCTGCGAGGGTCTCTCCGGAGGGAGGAAGGGGGGCCCCTTATGCAGGCAGGGGGAACCCAGAGCCAAGGTGCAGAAGCAGGGAAGGGGGAGAGAGGGTAAAGCCCGGAGAGGAAGTTTCGGGCCCGCAGGTGCAGGCCAGGTTGTTTGGATTTTGATCTGATGGTTGTAGGGAGCTATGGCCAGTGTTGGAGCTGCATGGAACAGCATGGAGCAGCTGTGCTGGGGGGTGGGGGGGTGGACGCTGGCTGTGCGCTGAGGCCAGTCAAGAGGCAGTCAGAAGGTCCAGAGGGGACGGTCACGAGCTTGAAGCTATGTGAAAGCCATGGGAAGGGGGAGACACCAGGGGTCACACAGCCAATGTCAGAGATGCCAGGGGGGCTGGGGACTCGGGTCCAGGAGGGAAGGCGCAGGACCACATGCAATAGGCCGGCATCCTGGGGCCCCGCATAGAGCGGGCGCTCAGTAAAATGTTCCTCCAGTGACGGAAGGGAGGCTCCCTGTCCCTCTCCAGGTCAGCTGGGGCGGTGCTGTCCCAGTTTCCCACACCCCTCCTTTTGCACACCGTGCTCGTGCTCGGTGGCCCCGGAAGAACCCTGGCTGGACCAGTAGGGGCCGTGCCTGCCCACAGCTCCATCTCTGCCATGCACCCATATGGCTTCTCTCTCTCCGTCCCTCCTCCCCCCTCCCTGTCCTTATCTTTCCCTTCCGTCTCCATGGAGACTCACCACCTCGGCTCTCGCCTGCATCCCAGCCTCTGCCAGGGATTCTGGGCCCGGCTCAGTCCCTCCCTCCTTCGGAGCCCTGGTTCCCGCAGTCCTGTCTCCTCCCCCTGGGGTGAGTCCAGAGGCAGCCTCCTCTTTCCCGACTGTCACATCTATTTTCCAGCTCTGACGAGTCCGGGTCGGCTCCTCTGGGGAGACCATCCCCCACCCACCCACCCTCCACCTGCCACAGCTCGGCCCTTCCAGGAGGAAAGCCATCCTTGTTGCAGCCGACCGGGTCTCTGTCTCGGGCCTCCGCTCTCTGCTTGCAGACCTCTCCCCACTCCCAGCGCCCCCCATGCCGAGGTCCGCCTTGTCAATCATCTCCTTTTGTCACTGGCTGGGCAAACAGGCAAGTCCTGGGTCCTGACATCTGGGGGGGGAGGGGGGGCAGAATGGGTGGGGGTGGGAAAGGGCCACCTGGGGACGAGGGATGGGTCTGCAGAAGGGGGATGGAGGCCACTGAGACGCAGGAGGAAGACAGAAACCTGGATTCTCTTCTAGATAACGTTTTATTCCCACCCCCTGCCCCCCATTTTTGTCTCCAAGGAGAGAAAACGGAGCTTCGTGGGAAGCAGTCGCAACAGTTGGTAAGTGGCAGGGCCTGCCAGCAGGACTGCTTTGAGGTCTGCTCGCTCTCTGTGGGTCCAGGAACCCGGGCCCTGTGGCCCCCGGCGTCCTGCGGGCTGTCCCAGGGGAGGGCCCGAAGCTGGATCTGCTGTGGAGGGAGGGACGGGGAGAATCTGGTGGGTACTGCTTGGAGACCGAATCCAGCTCCAAGAGGGAGCGCGGAAGGCATCTTCTAAGAACCAGAGCCATCTGCCCCACCACCGGGAGGCTCCCACCCTCTCCTTGTGGCCCCACGGTGTATGCAGGTGTCACTCCTGTCGGGGGGAGGGGGGAGGTCCGGCCGAAGCCGGTAACTCCCAGTGGGAGCCCTTGCAGTGGAAGGCAGTGGGAGAGAGGTTTCCAGAAGGTTTGTGCCAGGCACTGGGCAGGGTGCCCTGATGGCCCCATGAGCCCAGGGCTGCTAACCTCTCCTCTTGGCCGGTTAGGAAACGGGGGGCCCAGATCAGTCCGTGCAGGAGCCTGCCCGTGGCTGCCCGGGGTGGCGGTGGCGACGGCGATGGGGCAGGGTTAGGACTTCACCCGGGCGCCTCCCTGCCGGGAGCACTGTCCCCACGGCTCTGCCATCCCCGGCACTGGGGTGCAAGTCAGTGAGCTGGCCTCTCTGGGAGCACCCTGCCCCCCCAACTCCCAGCCCGCCGTACTCCCTGCACGCCCCCCCATGCTGCTCCCAACAGCTGCTCTGCCGCCCCCCACCCCCTCCACGCCAGGTCCCACACGCCATTCCCCAAGTTAGAGCTGGGCCTGGGGTCCCGGTCTGCGGCGCCCCGGGAGCTTCCTGCCTGCTCCATCTGCCTGGAGAGGCTGCGGGAGCCCATCTCGCTGGACTGCGGCCATGACTTCTGCACGCGGTGCTTCAGCACGCACCGTGTCCCCGGCTGCCAGCCAGCCTGCTGCCCCGAGTGCCGGAAGATCTGCAAGCAGAAGAAGGGCCTCCGGAGCCTGGGGGAGAAGATGAAGCTCCTGCCGCAGAGGCCTCTGCCCGCCGTGCTGCAGGTCCGGGGCCCAGGCCTCGGCGCTGGGGCTGCTGGGGCGGGGGGAGCTGGAGGGACCTGGGTCCGATCCCCGAGGGGCCCGGCAGCTCTGGCTCTATTCTGGGATGTCGGGGTGCGGGACGGAGTCTGGGGTCGGCCGCGCGCCGCCCTTGGCGGCTCAGGGAACCTTCCTTCTCCCGACGCAGACATGTGCTGTGAGGGCTGAGCCACTGCTCCTGGTGCGAATCAACACCTCTGGAGGCCTGATCCTGAGGATGGGGGCCATCAACCGCTGTCTGAAGCACCCCCTGGCCAGGGACACCCCTGTCTGCCTCCTGGCTGTCCTGGGGGAGCAGCACTCAGGGAAGACCTTCCTCCTCAACCACCTGCTCCGGGGCCTGCCAAGCCTGGTGAGGGAAGGGCTGGGGCAGGGGGGCAGTTTAGGGGTCCCAGCCTGGAATTGGGAGGGGAATGGGGGCTGGATGGACCAACGGATGCTTTCTTTTTCTGCCTTGCAGGAGTCAGGGGGGGGCGGCTGGCCGAGAGGAGGAGGGTCCCTGCAGGGGTTCAGGTGGGGTGCCAACAGCCTTACCAGGGGCATATGGATGTGGAGCCACCCTTTCCTGCTGGGGAAGGAGGGGAGGAAGGTGAGCGGCATGAAGGGCACAGGAGGTGAAGATTGCAGGCCGGGGGAGGAGAGGGTGAAGAGGTTTGGGGGGACGGGGAGATCGTAGACAAAGGGGAGGGGAATGGAGAAAGCAAGCTTTGGGGGCAGGTACAGGAAGATGCGGTGGACGAGGGAGGGTTGGGGGAGCACGTGGCGGAGTGAGGCAGGCCTGACCCCTCGGTTCATCTCCCCGCCTCCCCCGCCCCCTGCACAGGTGGCCGTGTTCCTGGTGGACACAGGGGACGCCATGAGCCCCGAGCTGAGCAGAGAAACCAGGACCAAGCTCTGCGCCCTCACCACGATGCTGAGCTCCTACCAGGTGAGGGCGCTGTGATCCGGTGCCCCGCCCCATCGGCCCAGCTCCCACTCAGCTTTCTCCAGGACGGGGACATCTCAGCCCGGGGCTGGCCCTGGGAGTGCTCGGGATGCTTACCCTGATCTCACAGACGCCTGTGTCTGGGGTCCCCCCACAGGTTCTGGGGATGCCCCTGCAAGGGAGGGATGCCTGCAGTCGGTGAAGGTGGGAACATGGTTTGTTCAAAAGGGAAGTCAAAGGTCCCCAGGAGCCGCTGAAGGCCCGCAGGACCATTCTCGGGCCTGCCTTCGGTCCCTCACGGCCAGCCCAGGCCCTGCAGGCTGCGGAGGCCCCCAGGCAGGTGTCTCCCGGGTCCTGACCCCACTGTCGGCCTGCGAGCTCCTTCCTCACCGGGGTCTTCCCAGTATCTCTTTGCCTTTGCAGACCCTCTTCCATCTTGTTCTCCTTGGTTCCAGATCCTTAACACCTCCCCGGAGCTGAAGGATACAGACCTGGAATATCTGGAGGTGAGGAGAAAATTTGGTCCTGGGGCGCCACCCTATTCCTGCCCTGGCCATAAGTCCAGGGGACTGGACCAGCCGTTCTGGCCTAGGAGTTCATGACCTGGAGCTGGGCTGGTGCGTTTGAGGGCAGAGGGTGGAGCACGAGATGCCGGGTTGGGAGAGGCAGGAGAATCCCAGAGCTGGGAGTGTGGGGGATGGGGAGAGTATGGGGGTGAGGGTGGGGGGTCCTCCAGTGGGTCCAGAGGGGAGGAAGCCACAGTCCTTGGGGTAACCCAGCCATGACCCCTGGTGCCTCACCCCCAGATGTTTGTCCACGTGGCCGAGGTGATGGGCAGGCATTATGGGATGGTGCCAATCCAGGTGAGACACCCATTTCTGGACCCATCACCCCAGACCCTAACACCCCCAGGCTGCTGGTGTCAGGACCCCTTCTCTTCCAGCACCTAGATCTCTTAGTTCGTGACTCATCCTACTCCAACAAGGCAGGGCTGGGCCGCGTGGGTGACATCATCCAGGTGAGGGGTGCCGAAGGAGGGGATACAAGGGGGTTCGGGAGGAACTGGGCAGAAGGGGAGGGGAGGCCCGAGGGGGCCTGCGGGGGAGCCAAGAACAGGAGCCTGGTCCCTAGCTCAGAGGTCTCCCCATCCGTCTCTCAGAAATCCTCCGGCAAATACCCCAAGGTTCAGGAGCTACTCCAAGGAAGGAGAGCCCGCTGTTACCTCCTGCCCACCCCGGGGCGTCGGTGGGCAAGCAAAGGCCACGGAAGCCCCTGCGGTGAGCGTCCCCGGGGACAAGGCCTCCCCAGCTTGCCCTCCTCCTCTGGCCACCCCTTGGCCCCAGCGAGCTTCTCCCTGCCTCTGACACCCTTTCTCCTCCCAAAGCCCGGCCCTGCTCAGCCCCCGGTCTCCTCAGCATGAGGAATCTCTTCCTCAGACACAGATGACGATTTCGGCCACCTCTGTGCCTACGTGGCGGACGTGCTGAGCGCAGCCCCCCAGCACGCCAAGAGCCGCTGCCCGGGGTACTGGAGCGAGGGCCGCCCCGTGGCCAGGGGGGACAGACGCCTGCTCACGGGGCAGCAGTTAGCTCAGGAAATCAAGGTGCGCCCCCCCTCCCGCCCGCCCCCAGGCCCCGGAGAGCCCCCCGCCCCCTGCCCGCCCTGACCCCTCCCCTGATGTCTCCGCAGAACCTCTCGGGCTGGATGGGGAGGACCGGGCCCGGGTTCGCCTCCGCGGACGAGGTACGTCCGTCCCCGCGCAACCCTCCGGAGGGTCTGGGGGGCCGGGTGCGTGGGCCCTGGGATGCAGCCGAAGGCGGGAGCGGGAGGAGGGAGGCAGCCTGGCTTTGCCGTGGACAGATGGCCGCCCAGCTGCACGACCTGAGGACGGTGGAAGCTGCCAAGAAGGAGTTCGAGGAGTACGTGCGGCAGCAGGTGAGCCGCGGCCCCGCGCGGGAGCCCCAGGCCTCGGGCTCCCGGGCGGGCGGTCAGCGCGCCTCCCTTTCTCCCCGCCGCAGGACGCGGCCACCAAGCGCATCTTCTCGGCGCTGCGGGTGCTGCCCGACACCATGCGCAACCTCCTGTGCGCCCAGAAGGACGCCGTCCTGGCCCGCCACGGGGCGGCCCTGCTGTGCAAGGGCAGAGAGCAGACCCTGGAGGCGCTGGAGGCCGAGCTGCAGGCCGAGGCCAAGGTCTTCATGGACTCGTACACCATGCGCTTCTGTGGCCACCTGGCCGCCGTCGGGGGCGCCGTCGGGGCCGGGCTCATGGGCCTGGCGGGCGGCGTGGTGGGCGCGGGCATGGCCGCGGCCGCGCTGGCCGCGGAGGCCGGGATGGTGGCGGCTGGCGCTGCGGTGGGGGCCACGGGGGCTGCGGTGGTCGGGGGCGGCGTGGGCGCCGGCTTGGCCGCCACCGTGGGCTGCATGGAGAAGGAGGAGGACGACAGGGTGCAGGAAGGGGACCGAGAGCCCCTGCTGCAGGAAGAGTGACCAAAGGGGGGAAGAGATGCCAGGTGGGAGGGAAGGAGGTGCGGGAGGGGAGGGGTTGGGGGTGGTGCCGAGCCCCCCCCCCCCCCCGCCCCCCACCCCGGTGTGCCGCGCTGCCGCGGTGGAATGCCCAGTGTCTGGGTGGCTGACTGAGCTGGACAATCGAGGCGGCTCCAGGATCCTCCAGAGAGGCCGTCGGGGGCCCGGAAGCCGTGTCCGGGGGCAGCGAATAGAGTATAGGGCCTGTTTCGGGCGGCGGACCGTTACTGACCTGCCATGGTTCCCAGGTCCACTTGGCCCCAGTGTCTCCCACCAAGAGTGAGGCTGACCCTCCCCACCCTGGCTTCTTTCCCCTGATGACCCCGGATTGTAGGAAGGCTGAGCAGGCACCATTCTGGAAGTCTCCCTTGGGTAGAGAGGATCCATCCCTTCACAGATGGGAGGAGAAGTCCCAGGTTGAGTGACCTTGGTGCTCAGGGGCAGGGAGCACAAAGGAGGGGCTGGGGGCGGGGAGAGAGAAGGAGGGGCCACCGGGCAAAACCAAAGAGTCCAGGTATGGTGGACAGTGGCCTGAACCCCGGAGTGGAGCCATTTGCTTTGACCACTCTTCCCCAGGCTGCCCCAGGATGATAATGGTGGTCCCCCCCGCCCTCTGCAGCCCCAGGGAGGCCACATGGGCACTTTGAATGGGGGTCCCTGCAGCTGTTCCTTCATGGTGGTGTCCTTTGTCGAGCCTGCTCGGACAGCAGAGTGCCCAAGTTCTTTCTGGAATGCTGTCCCCACGATGGGTTAGATGCCAAAGAAAAACACCAGTAATTGCATTCGGAGCTAAACCAGGCAGCACTCCTAAGTCTATGGAAGCCCTGCAAGGGACAGCAAAGGGAACACTTTCCACACCGGACACGAGCACGCCCTCTTTCCCGAACCCGTGTCTGCAGGAGACCTGGGTGCAGCCCTCCACGGGAACCCAGAGGTCCCAGCGCCCTGCCACGGGACAAGGAAGTCCTGCTGGAAGACTTCTTAGGCTATTTACCCTGTAAAGTACTCGTGGGCTCGTTATATTAAAAAAATAAAATATGTGTGCTTGAGCCTCAGCTTCCCAGTAAATTTTTTAAACAGGACTTGAATTCAGCCCCCAGAGGGCTTTGGGGCAGAGGGGTGGGGGGAGGTGAACGAAGGCACTCCATCGTGGGGACCTGTGGACAGGGAGAGGGAGGCTGAAATTCAAGAGATCTGGGAGCTGAGTGTCCGAGGTCCCACATGGGGGTTGCAGGAGGGCTCAGGCCAAAGGCTAAGGGCACAGCCACCTTCCAGTAGGACTTGGGGTCCTGCTCCCCTAGTCTCTCCTGCCTCTGATGACCCTGCGAGCAGATTGTCATCTGGCATCTGTCCTGGCAGAAGGAGAGAGGGGAGGCAGAGCTGGGGAGTCCTTGCTAAAGCCTCGGAGGAAGGAGGACCCAGGCCCACCTCCGTGGGGGTCAGCCAGCCTGCGTTCACCTGCTGCTTCTCCTCTCCGCCTCATCTCCCCATCGCAGAGTTAGATCAGGGGCCACTGTGTCCAAAGCCTGCCTTTTACAGAGAGGGGAAGTCTCAGCTAACGCTCCCCAGCTGGGGTTCCCCCACAGATGTCAGAAGAGAGATTTTTTAAGGTCAGATATGCTGAAATCAAGATGCTCCTCTTTGGTGATTTCTTCCCTCTTCCCATTCAGCTCTGGGCAACAGTGCTGGGGGGACTGAGGCAGAAGGACGTGGTCTGGGACACATGGCCCAACAGTAGAAGCTTCAGTTAGCAAGCCGGGGACAAAATAATGACGCAGAGAAATCCCAAAGCCTGGGTTGGGGACTGGTGGGGTGAAGACAGAGGGCTGAGGGTGACTCTAATGTTTGGAGACTGGGCCAGAGGTGGGGGTAGGGTCCAGATTTTGTCTGGGGTTTGCCAAGAATGGCTTTCTGGAAGCATCTTTTGGGCCCTTCCATCATCATGTGGTGGACCCATGAGCTACAAAACCTCCCAGACTTTGGGGCTATCAGCCTTAGAACTTTGGGGGGGTTCCAAAGAGTCCCTGAAGGAGGGTTTTGTCTAGCTAGAATCCCACCTAACAGCTCTCGAAGGAGCTGCTGTGGGCTACTTCACCCTGATCTTGGAATGGAAGTGAGCTGTCAGCCACGCAGGGGAAGGGCTCCGCAAAAGCCAGATGAGTCATATTACCCATTTCTACGGAAGCTCAGAGACATGGCTAGTCAGACGTAAGCCAAGACTTGAACCCAAGGTTTCTGAGGTCAGGTTCCTGGCTTAGGTGAGCCCTCACCCCACAAGTCTCTCCAGACTCCATGACCAGGCCGCTGGGTCCCAAACCCAATTAGGGGGCTTCTGGGTTTCCAGCATCAGTTCTGGAATTCACAAGAGCTCACATGACTCTGTGCTCAAGGTCTCAGCGGGATGCTGAAGCCTGACTGATTTCTCTTCTATGACCTGTTGAAGGTCACCAACTGCAAGCTTCTAAGGTAACAAGTTTCTGGGTTAGAGATCTGGGGATTTGGCTTGTGGTTCCTGCTTCTGAGGCCAGCCCTCACGTTGGAGATGGCAGAACCACCACACGAAAGAGCCTGCCTCCTTAAGTCCTGCTGTGGACTGAACCCCACCCCCAACCCTATTCATATGCTGACATCCTAATCCACCAAGGGATGGTATTAGGAGGAGGGACTCACCAGGTGAGTGCACAGCCATCTATGAACCAGGAAGTAGGCTCTCACCAGCCGCCACACCAAATCTGCTGGCATCATGATGTTGAACTTCTGAACCTCCAGAACTGTGAGAAATAAATATTTGTTGTTTGTAAGCTACCCAGTCTGTGATATTTTGTTGTAGCGTTGTCTTGACTGCATGGAACAGGAGCCCACTAGCTCCCCTTAAACCATTCATTCACTAAACCATGCCCTGAGCAAGGAGGAAACTTCACTTGCATTAAGTGGATGAGATATATAGGTTTATTTATTACTGCATCATAGCCTATCCTAACCCTAACTGACGTGAAAATGTGCTCCTTGAAATGGGGTGAAAACCTGGCTGGGTGGTGGGCAGTGAGGAAACACACTGCTGGATCCATTTTATGTCATGATAAAACATTTGGTAAAACTGTCTCCTACAGTAACATGGAAGGCAGATTCTTGCCCTGTTGAGGAAAACAATTTTTTTTAAGATTTTATTTATTTATTTGAGAAAGAGAGAGCGAGAGCACAGAGGGAGAGTGAGAGGGAGAAGCAGACTCCCCACCAAGCAGAGAGCCCGATGCAGGACTCGATCCCAGGACTCTGGGTTCATGACCTGAGCCAAAGGCAGCTGCTTAACCGACTGAGCCACCCAGGTGTCCCAAGGAAAACATCTTGAAAAATAAAATCTGCCCACCCAGAAAACCCTCCCTACTAATAATGTCGAAAAGGAATAGTTCTATTACTGAGTAAGCATTAACTCAGACCGGGCTGTGTCACAGGTCATCTGCTAGTTAAGACATAAAATTATTAAGACAGAAAAGAAATCCCACTACTCCCATGTAGACAAGCAGATATGACCCTATGTGCATATTCTCAGGTATGAACACTTGTCAGGCAAGAGGACTCAACAGTCCCACTCGCTATACGTGCTTTCAAATTCACTCTGCATTCACTGGGTTGAATGATCACTCTGTGGTCACTGGGGTGGCCGTCTGTGCTAGTTAATGACCTCTTTCTGAAGGAAAAATGAAAATTCTTGTACCTCTATGATGAGTTGAGATGCCTCAGCTGGATTCCCACGATAACAGGGAGATGGGGCGCGTCTTCCTTGATGTTGACATTGAAAAGATATGGCTCCCAGGCCCTGCTGAAAAATCTTCCTGGGTTTTAATTCTGGTAAGAGGCTTATTTAACCTTTAATAAAATTTGCGTGCATACCAAAAGGACAAAGGAATTCTTTTATTTTTATTTTTATTGTTATGTTAATCCCCATACATTACATCATTAGTTTTAGATGTAGTGTTCCATGATTCATTGTTTGTATATAACACCCAGTGCTCCATGCAGAACGTGCCCTCTTTAATACCCATCACCAGGCTAACCCATCCTCCCACACCCCCCCTCCCCTCTAGAACCCTCAGTTTGTTTCTCAGAGTCCATAGTCTCTCACAGTTAGGACAGAGGAATTCTTTACAAATACAAGTTTTCTCAAGGAAAGTTCCAAGAAAAGGTGGGGGAGAAAAGATCTCTTTCCTTTTGGAAAGGAAATTCAATCTTTTTTTTTTTTTTCCAAAAAAGAAAAAAGTGATTCAGGTTTTATTCGCCAGCAGCTCCGCCCTGTCCCTGCCTGCCGCGGGGGCCCCTTCCGCACTCGCGGAGTCAGGGGAGGGCCTCTCTGGCCTCCTCGGCTGTAATCTCCTGGGAGTAGAGGTCCGTGAAGAGGGCCGGCAGCCAGTAGTGGGCCTCCCATGGGGCCTGCAGGTCCAGCCAGGCCAGCCCTTCCTTCAGCAGGTGTTCCAGCACTTGCCGCGCTCGCTCGGTCTCCCATTTAAGACTGGCTTTGATATCACTGACGGTCACGTAGCCATTTTTCTCGGCCAGCTGCAGCACCACCGTGTGATCCATGTTGAGCTCAGCCGGAACAGACTGAATGAGGTAGGTGCCGCCCACAGGGATGATGCCGAAGCCCGTGCCCAGCGCCTTCAGTTTCTTGATGGCCCTGATCAGGTCGTCTTGGCTCACGTCTTGCGCGAACTTGCCCCTTCCTCTTAACACCTGTTGATGCAGTTCCTCCAGAGTTACCAGACCTCCATTCTGGTGCTTCAGGGCCAGGCACATACTTCAATAATCTGGACACCCAGCTCGTGATAGAAATCCCCCACACCTAGCATCTCAGACCAAAATCCTTTTCCAGAGGCCAGAGGGCCCACCCCAATGGTGGCACACATGTCCTGGAACTGCTCCCGGAACTCGGGATTCTTCCGGATCTCCTGCTTGTGCTTGCTGGCAAATTCCTCCAGGTTGCTCTTGAACATGTCCAACTGCTTCGACATCTGGGCCAGCTGGTCCTCAGCCAAGACAGTGCCTCGCTCCTTATGCTTGGCCT